AGACTGATAACATTAATATAGCAGCAAACAACTATTTGCTATGTAAAGTCATGGTGTCACATTCCCTCTGCCTGTGTTGCTACTGCAGCCTCTCTGTGGTTTGTATACATAGCCAGTCTGCTCTATGTGCAGCTGAGCAGAGTGACTGAAACTGATGTTTTTTTATCGTCTATATCAGTGAAATTCTTTGACCAAACCAGAGTTTGTTGAGGTTGGAACAAGTTATTGTGAGTTTTATGTTGTTTCAGTCCAACATAACAATGATATGCAAGCTAAAATCACTGTTTTGTCACAATGCACTCCTGTCACCATCGCTTTTTAACATTTGCTGCGTGCATGAATGTCCAAGATTGTTGCATTTCTTGTGTATTTTTCAGTATTTTTTCATTTATATTAGCAATCCCTTATATTCTGTATGTGGGGATGACAATCAACAAGCTTGAATTTAAAGCTAAAAAATACATGTAAGCAAAAAGTACAATGTACCCCTGAAATGTAATGGAGAATTTTGAAGTAGCATAACATTTAAAAAGTCCTTTAGCAAATATAAATACCTCAAATTTGTACTCAGTACTTCAGTAAATGTACTTAGTTACTTTACTTAATTGGCACGTAGCATGACTGCTTTGGTGTCTATTGTACACAACAACACATGTAAAGGAATTCTTTTTAGTGATTCAAAAGTCAGCATGGTTTAAAGACCTTAACCATCACTATTCCATTCATGTAAAAGATTAAAAGCATAAATACACATCATAACGAGAAAATACGGGAAAAAAACTTCAATAGACAAGTGGAGAGCACTTCTTTTATTTTAAATATGTCATCATTGGTTTAGCCTGCATACAGTAACATATCAGCAAATAACTACACAGTACAGAGGTGGACTGCTGCCACACCAGTTGCAGCTTGGCCAATATGTAACATCGATAGCCACGGTCAATATCTGACAGCCAGGCCAGCATATTCCTTCATTTAAACTCCATTTAAAACTTTTTATTTGAGATACAAAACCACTAGGATGCCTGTGTGTAAGCATTTTTTCTAGACTTCAGTTAAAAAAAGAAAAAAAGAAAAGAAAAACATCATAGGTTATACATTAGCTGTGTTGATTCTCAGAGATAGAAAGTTGGCATCTGAAAAATACATGACTGTAGTTGTTACACAAAATAAGTTTGGGGGGTGGGGGTAATTGATCCCTCAACCCCCTTTTGTAAATTTCAAGCATTTCCCTTTTTCTTCCAAGAAAAAAATAACAATCCAATTGATGTGCGTCAACGCAACTCCTGCCTTTGCACTGTTCGACCTGTGTATGGCTTTAAATGGGGTTTAAAGACTTGGCGAGGTGAGAAGGCAATATAAGAACGCAAATCGGATGCAAAGCTTTCAACACGTACATACTAGGGTTTCCGTCGGGCCTAGAACATGCAGACGGGGTGTTTTGGCACACATTAGAACTATCTACAAGTGTGATTGGTTCTCCTTTGTGCCAATTACCCCCCTCTAGCTCACACACAACTTCTATGACAAAGAAAACAGTGGTACTATATAGAAATGGGTCGGTTCCTGTGTCGCATTATTAAGGCTTCCCATGACTTGAATTTTCACTACAACTAGCCACTAAATTCAACACTAAGCCTCATCTCTCTAACAGAAACTCCTTTGTTCTGATTTTAAGCTGGACAGGGATACAAATGTGTGCTTTTCATTTTTCTTTTCTACACTTTTTTTGTTTCTGTGATATAACAAGCACCAGCTCTCAAACATTGTATTACTATTATGCATCAACTCCTAAGAGATGACTGTCACTGCTAGTGGTTCATTGGTATTTTGTACTTCTCAGCGCAACCATGCACAATCGACACTTCAAAAACACAAAGAAAATGAAAAGAGCAGTTGAAATAAAATAAAAAATCAAGATTAAGAACATGGAGGTTTGTAAGGTTATGGCCCATAGTTTTTTAGGAGGAAGAATATGATGGAAAAATATAATTCACTCAGTCACAGAGAGACAAAATAACACAAACTGTAATAGTCCGATGAAATAAGTAGTGGAACTATAGACTCAAGCCTCTTATAGAATCAAGTGCAGACTCTCCTAGCTTCTCTCCAGGTCACCCAGGTAGGAAGTCACCTGTGGAGGAAAAGTGCAGGATTAGGATCATCGTGGATCAGGTGGTTACAGCAGTGCCACACACAGCCGCTAAATCTCTACTTAAAGGTTACATATGTACAATTCTAACATATACTTTTTATTGCCAATCTGTGAACAGATTGTAACAAAATTGTTTCCCCCAACTTTCTCTGTTTGTTGTGGACAGTCAGCCATAGCTTGTGATAACAAAGTGCCACATGCTGCATTTAATCTTTTGTTTTGTGACTGCTGTCTGTCCCTGCCTGCGTCTTCACACTGTACTCCCCCCACACATGTGCGTATTCTTTCCAGCAGGTCATTGCTCCAAATGTGTCAATAATAACCGTAATCCACCACTGTTCGCTGACATATCATGAGCAATCACAAAATGACTGAACTGATAAGATCATGATTTGCTTTGCAGATCTGATCATTTACAGCTAAACAACTAAAAAACATTATTTACTTTCATGACATTCTTCAGATATTAACCTACAGTTAACTCTTGAAGAATGGTTGAATATGCAGTGAGTCTGCAAAGAGAATAATACAAGCTCCAAAAAGTTAATATTTCAAACCTTCAAGGTCTTTGTCATGTTTGATCTTGAAGGTCGAAGAGCTGCATTGTTTGGGAGCTTGCAATAGACATTGTGTGCTGTATTTGCCCTACACCTTCCTAAGGTTGGATGTGGGTGCTGTCTGCCTTTGCCTACAAATTATTTTGGTTCTAAACCCTTTGTGAAAAACAAAATGCTGGAATTTGCCTGAGGAAGACCTGTTAACTGATAAAAGGGAGGCTAAAACAAAACCTTCCACGAGGTCAGTTCCAACGACTGTAACTGAGGTCTTGCATGTTTTAGCCTATTGACTATAAATCAGTTGTGCTTAACATTACTGTCCATTTCCCAAAGCAGAACTCAAATTATTGCACTAAAATGAGCTTAAAGAGACTTCACACTTGCTTATGTCCACATCTATTCAACGTGGATCTTGTGGATTTGATTTTCCAACAACACAGCTCCTGAATACAATGTATTTAGGCAGCTTACTCACAGATCTCAGTTGTTTGAGCTTTCAGTCAATGCACTGCCAAGGCCAAAATGGCTCCTACAATAAAACATTCACTGTGATGGAATACCAATCTACACAAGTCTCTGCTATTTGATTTTCTTTGTGTGGTGAAAGATAGGGACACCACTGGCTGCCCGAAGGTTGGGAAATACAAAAAGTAACGATTATATGCTTCAGAAATAGGTTGACTTGCTAGCATGTTAGCAAGGTTGCCAGCTACTGTCATTTACCAGCAATGACGTTGGCTGTGCCACAGGAAGAAGGTGATTTGTAGCTAAAAATACACAGATTGTGAATTGTTACTTCTGAAGAATACTTACACAAAACAAAGAATTAGGCCGTGAATTTGTTTCATTCCAAACCCAGCAGCTCAACGTCAAAGATGAGGGTGGCGTTAGGAGGAATGATACCCGGGTGGCCTTTGTTTCCGTAAGCGTAGTCAGGTGAGCAGGTCAGCCTGGCCCTTTGACCGACACTCATCTGGAGGCAGGAGGAGACAGGCGATACAAACACGAGAGAAAAAGACAACAGGGGGGTGGGACAGCTAGTCTGCAACATAGAATGCAGTTCATAATATCATAGGGAAGTCTCTGTGGTCTGAGTTGGACATTAAACCACAGGGGACAGCAGGCCTGGGTGATATGATGATAATGTGATAATAGAAAAACGTTTCTTTCGTTGTGTCGAAAATCACACTCTTTAACGCCAACATTTGTTGTCATTTTGACACTTTCAGTGTGCCCACTCTTTTTAAAGGTCCAGTGTGT